CTTTCCCTAGAACCTTGTAACCTTGCATTTGCACCATGTACAATTCATCTTCTAGAAAGTCATGTAAAAAAACTGTATTCAAATCTATCTGTTCCATATATAGATTTTTCTCTATTATTAAGTTCAACATAACTTTGACATTTATCTTCACTATAGGAAAAAATATCACATTGTAGTTCACTCTTTCCTCTTCATAACATGACATGTCTTGTAGCGCCTGCTACGATCTAACATCATTTTTAACCTATAGATTCGGTTATTATAAAGTAATCTTTTGTCAACTGGTAATACTACCAAGTCCCATAACTTATTTGACCACAAGAATCACATCTCCTCTTTCATAGCAAGCTCTAACTCCTTTGAATCTACAACTTGCGTGGCCTTCTCATAGCACTATGGTTGGTCCCACTTGTATTTAGCAAAAAACTATTTTAAAGAATGAGAATACCTTTATATTGTCTCAAGATTTTGTTGCATCTCCTAACTTTAATGGAAAGTGATTGATAAACTCTCTGTGCTTCATTTGATTAATGTCTCGAGATAGAAGGAACTCACATATTTCATCCCTGTAACCCGTTCTTTAAAAGCGGGGACTTCATACCTTTCTTACACATATGGTCAAGCCTGTGGTGCCAAAGACCTACATCAACCTTGGTTCCAACAACATTAGTACAATCTATCACCTCATTATTTAGGTAAAGATCACTTTCAATATTTTTGTGAGCAATCTGCATTGCTCCCTTGGTCATCTTTTGTGAATCAACTATAAAAGTAATCACATACCCTGACTTTTGCAGCTAGTTCATTGAGATTGGATTTCTCTTCAGACTTGGAAAAATTCTTAGTTCTTTGAGATTCCAGAATGTTCCATTCAGCAACCTGATGTCAAAAACACCCTTTCCTGTAGTACTGTGTTTTTTGTTGTCTCTTAAACAAAACTTCTCTAAGCCATTATGAAAAGTGGCCCCTCGATATACTAACCTAAATTCAGTCTTGATTACGATAAGACTAGAGAGTCACATTAGATTTTGTCTATAGAAATATTTATAGAGAGGTTTTTTTCTTGGTTTCTATCACAAACATTTTAAAGAATTTTACAGTTCATCTTGAATTGAACTTTCTTCTCATAGTTCTTGTAGTCTCCCCTACCATTTCCTTTGCATGACATGGACTTTTTCTTCTGGACTTGAATCAGTCTCTACCCGTATTTTTGTCCAGATTTTTTCTCATATTTTTAAAATTCAATGTAGAACATGAAGATTCACCATTCACTACCTTTCAACAAACTTTTTCATTCAGCATTAAACTTAAGATTTCACTGAAGTTCAACTTCATATTACTAGAAGAGTTACTCACCCCTGTAATCAATCCTTCCGAACTATAATGAAGATATGGTTAAAAATGTCTTGACCTCATCATCAAATTTGATACCCATATAGCATAATTTATTAGTCACAATATTGAAATTATTCAAGTGTTTGACTAACAGTTTGCCTTCCGCCATCATCAAATTGAATAACATCTCCATAAAAAAAATCTTATTCAAAGTATAAAATTTTTTAATATCTTTATCAGTGCCACCATGAATCCACCACAACATTCTCATTCATTATACTGAACACAATAGATGATAAAAGTGAAAAATAAATTAAACATACAGATATTCAATCTAACACTTCCCATTCTTCCAAAGTCATCGTTTCAGTTTCTTGGCGATTCATTGTTGAGGAAAATATAATTTTTGTTTGACACACCAATTAATTCACTTGTATTTTTTACAACACAAAGTTCAATCCCTTGACTTATTCAATTTGTACCTAACTCAATCAACCATTGGTCTCACTCGAATAAAAAAACCTTGAAAAGAAGAAAGCTCCTCTCTGATACAACTTATTGGAATGAAAAACTAAGGGATTTGATTAATTTTCAATGAAAGCAACACTGAGGAAAATAAGATCATAACATTTCGAGAAATCCATAAAAAAATATCGAACAGATTCACACCAAAATTTAACATGAAGAAAAACTGAGAACTAAAAAAAAATTATGGAACCACGCAACACAAAAAGTCGCATATGAAAAGAAGAAATGTACAAAGATTTTTAACATTCAGATCTTCTCTATATAATACTGAAAGTTATAGGAGTTGAATTTCGAATCCTCTCTTGATCACACAAGAAAACTTGCATGCCGAAATCCACACTCTCAACACACCGTACCTTCTCGAGAGACTTCCATGTGTAAACATAGTCATTTCGAATAGAGGAATTTAACTCATGTAATAGAGAAAATTGTCTTACGATGTAACCACGCTGATACACAATATAATTATTACGTGCTTACTATGGAATCAAACGAAATGAAGCAACCTTGGCTTAGTTTTGGTGCAGGAAAGTTGCACAGAAGTTTGTGGTGCGTTTCAAACTCTATATCTGAATCCTACGACTGTTAAAACCCACAACAATGGCATTTGTGGCCAACTATCACTATTGTAGCAACTGACTACAGCCTTATGTCCATATACTGCCTTTGTAGCAACCCACTATGATTTTTGTAGGCAACTACTACAATTACAACTTTCAATTATGGCCTTTGTGCCCAACTATGTTATTGTAGCCACCATAACTTTTATGGTCAACCACTATCTTATAGCAAGCAACTACGACACTGATGACCAACCATTGCTATTATAGCAAAAGAATATTATTATTGTAACCTAATTATGACTGTTACAACTGAACAATCATTATACTTCTGTGATTATCACTTTTACAATTTCATCTTCTCTAATTCAAGAGAAGTGTGGACATATATATTTACAATCACATGGTAGACTATTTTGGTTGTGTCAGGGGCCGTGATTTTTCCCTTTTCAGAGTTCTTCCACATAAAAAATATTGGTACTTCCTCGTGCTCTATTTCTATTTTTTTGTGCTTGTGTTGAATCTTCGTGCAATGAAAAGAGACATAATCAGTCTAATGTTTCAAATTATCCGACACGTAACAACTGTAGTAGTGAATATGAGCCTAGCTTGGTCAAACTTGGTTAGCTAATGAGTTGTTGAGTTATGTTTATTAGGGCAACAACTCTCTTTTAAGCTCATATATGAACAAAGTGTGAATTCAAGTTTGGCAAGGCTTAGCTCGTTTGCCTACGAGCAAAATAAATTTATCTATGATTAGCTTTGATTTTCTCTTAGCTCATGGTTAGGAACTAGTCTGAAAGACAATCGTAGGTCTCATGAACTCCTTTCTTCTTTAAATTATTGGACTCGTGGATGCCTTCTCCATGTTTGGTCCCATTGATTCTTTTTCTAATGAGCTCCCATTGTCACTTCCTTGTTGATAGCAATTGATCTCGACATTCATTACCTTTTTCACCAAACTCCTATTGAGGTCAAGAGAATCATTTAAAAATACTATTTTATTAATAAACAAACGATAATCAATATTAACGAATAAAATTGAGTTAATTCTTTTGTATGAATTAATGATTGAAAATTTATTTAGGTGAAAATATAAAAAAATAATTTTAAATAACTTAAGGCATTAATATGAGAAAAATTAAATAGACATAAATTTTTATCAACTATAAATGATATCCTAATTAATTCTGTAAATGAATAAGATAATAAAATTACTTTAAAACCTACATTGAAACATATAAATAAATTCTAATAATAAGGCGGACATATTTACGTACGGAGTACACACACAATAACTGAATGTATTGGAATGTATTGGTAGGTTATTGGAGGGTTACTGAGACCCCCAATAACTGAGCTATTGAAATGTTATTTTGGGGAGTACGCACGTAGAACTGCATGCGTACTCTATACGTAAATAGCGCTCAATAAGGTGATCTAGTTTCAGCCAACAAATAAAGCACTTTTATTGCCACCCTTATCTTTCCAAGATAAAATTTAATGAATGTAATGATATGCAAATAACACACACACACACACACACACACACACACACACACACACACACACACACACACACACACACACACACACACACACACACACACACACACACACACACACACACACACACACACACACACATTTATTTATTTGTGTGTTGACCATTTCTTTTAAAAATTAAGCGAGCGCACACGCCGCGTACTCTGATTAGTTGGTCGAGCATTTGCTTGTTAGCTGTAGGCCCCCTATGAACTGGGATTTAAATCCCCTCAAATGTAGGGTGTGGTACTCAAATTATTATGCACATCATGTATATATATGCGCGCGACTCTTGCTCATCTTGACTCTTTGGCAATGCAACCTAACGTAATTCCGCTAGGGTCATGGATTCGATCCCGCCTGAATGCATCTACCTTGCAATGCGGGATCGAGTATTTATGCACACGAGGGTTGCTAGGAGCTCATATCATAGCCTCCCGTCAATCCTTTGCAATATATATATATATATATCAGTGTGTATATGTGTCTATGTGCATATGTATATATGAACTAGTGCAGGTGTGCTAGCAATCATTCTGGAAATTTCCTTCGAACTGAAAATCATAAACCTTCCCCATATTCAAATATAATCATCTACTTCCCATCACGCAAAAACTTCTAGACAGTAACATGACATTGCAATTTGCCTATTAACATCAGAGAACATAGAACTACTTCTCCCCCAACTCTCATCAAGCAGCACCATTCTCTCTTTCATGCAGCAACATGTTATCAAAATGCCAGACTCCATGCCCCTTGCCAAGTCTCCTCAGCTGAGCAACATATTCAGATATCTTCTTTATGGCCTCAACCTGATCAAACAAATATATTAGTATGTTTATAAGTATTTTACAGCAGAAATATTACAAACAAAGTCTAGTTAACACAACCAGAAACAGAGATTTAAAGAATGCATTCACTCCTAATGCAAAATTATCGCAAGTTTTTACTTCTTAGCGTCTGGTAAATAATTTCAGCAAGTTCTAAATAAGTAAATATAAACATACTAATATAGCGTCTGGTAAATTAATATTCACCTGTTCTCCAAGGAAATGGCTTTCAATGAACTCTGTCATCTGAGGATCATTGGAACGTGCTGCCACCTGTTTATCCATAAGAATCAACAGATCACTATGTAATACTCTGACTTTAGACTATCATTAATGATATATTAAAAAGGATCCTCACACTGTGTAAATTAAGAAGTTTCTCATTAACGAGCCTCTCAAGAGACAAGGCCAGCTCCATTGCTACAGAAAGGCAGATAAGAAGATTAACTTCATATTAGTAAAAGATTATTTAGCTAAAAAGGAAATTTAGATAGATACCACACAATTATTATGCATTTACATATATAATACCCAAAGTTTGATATTGATGGAATGGCTAATCACCAAAAACGTTAATGAGATGTCCTTCAAAAAGTATTGTCATTATATAATAAAATATAAACAAATATAATAAATAAAAAATATTTAACCATAAATTTGATGAGCAAGGAGATTTAACTTGTTTTGCTTTGTTTCTCATACAACATAAACATATTAATGAAGGATATTTTTAAAAAAATACAAGCTTAACATTATAAAAAGTAAATATTACCGTATAGAGCGTCGCCTTTTTCCTCATGGTGAAATTCAGTTAAGGGCATTAGAATTGACTGGAGCTTCACTCTTCCTCCACGCTTGTTCTGTAACAAACACATAAGCCAAACTTGCTTCGTTAATGATGGGAGAATAAGAGGTTCAAAAATTACCTGATACTTCATCAATTTTTCAGCATGGTCTCTTTCCTCTTCACTTGATTCATTAAAGAACCTAAGAAACAAATATTCAAGAGCAGACTAAAACCAAATTGGAAGAAGAAATAGGGAGAATAAAAGAGGAGGAAGAAGGATTTGTGAGCTCTTAGGCTTACTTGGCCAGGCCTCTAAGCGCAACATTGTCCCGGTCAAAGTAGGCGAACATGGCATGATAGACATAGGAAACATTGTATTCGATGCTGGAAATTATAGAAAAACCATGCTTCAGATACAAGGAAGATTGAGGGTAGAACTTGGTTATATTTCAGTTTGTTTTTCAAAAGTTTTTGTGCTGAGAATAGTCAAAAAGAAATTTTGTTGTTCTGTTTTATTTTTAAAAAATATAGCGCTAATAACCATTGTTTTTTGATACAATAATTCCACAATTAATTACATCGACAACTGCATTCATCACAATAAAATCCTAAAAATTTGAAAATTTTTTGAGGTACATTCTACAAATATGAACTTATATATATATCAAATAATTGCTAACAATTATTAGCATACAATATTAGGCTTTATCAATCTTACAAATATCAGTTTGATTACCTATCGATAGTCTATGCAAATACTCTGTTAATATTTTATGCAAGTTTACCTGAATCATGAAAATAAATCCCCAAAAATAAAAGGCTCATTGGATCTTCAGAATTCGCAAAGCTCTCGTTTGGTCCTAATTTATAAAAAAATTATGATAGAGAATGAAAATCCAAGTAAATGATTAATGTAGTCAGGTTAACCTAAAGTTTAGCTCAGCCAACCAGGTGAAATAACTAGTCAGCTCAAAAAATTAACTAGTTAATTTAACAACTCACGCAACTCGACAACTCATCAGCTCAGGCAAAATTACTTTGAAGTGAAAGTTCACTTACTCTGTCGGATTGGAAACCTAAATTCAGTTCCTGTGCTGGGCCATTATAATATTTTTATCTTTTTCTTCTGTATAGCTATTTATGTAATATAATTAGTATCAATCCAAACATACAAATAAGGGATCAAGGTGGGAATCCATTTATGCAATCAAAGTTATTTTGAAGCCTATCTACACTTTCCATGTGCTTGCTTCATTTGAGCAATAAATTCCGAGAACTTTTCTTTCTAAAGCTCTCTCCCTCTCTATGTCCTTTAGTATTTTTCTCTTTAGGAGAGTTTAGAAAATATTTGTTGCCCTGTGTTCTACCAGACTACAAGGCGCTAGACCCTTATAGTATATTTTTGTCTTTTCTTTCATGTAACAATTTATGTAACATAATCAATTCAATCCAAATATATCAATAGCAGGGCAAGGTGGGACTTAGATTATGCAAGCAGAGCTATTAAACCTAGCTACAAGTTGTCTGTAATTGTTTTCCTAACACTTATTTCTTCTTGAGCAATAAAAGTCAAAAGCATCTCTCTCTCTCCATCTCTCTCTCTCTCCACATTTTCTCTATCTCAGAGTTCTATTGTCTATATAGTGCGATTTCACAGGTTTTTATGGGATTCAACACATACAATAATTTTATAGACAAATATAAATTCATATTGAAAATTATTCTAAAATGAATGTCAAAAAGGCAGAACACTAAGACACTAGTTTTTAAGATCTTCAAGAAATAACTCTGACAGAAAGTAGAACAAATTTTATCACTTATAAACCATTTTTGTGTATGCAAACAATTTATCTCAAAGATCAAGTTGGAAGTCGAAGAAAATTAAAATTTATTCAAATAGCAAGATTCAAATTCATGTCTACCAAAACGCTAAACCTAAGGTGAGAAACAATCATCTGGTAATCCTATAACTGCAAATATTTCAACTATAATAGTAACCAATCATAGATATATATATATATATAGACCCCTCTCTGCCCAAGAAAAAACATATAAATAAACAATAAGCGCGTTTTTTTAAAAGCAGTAGAACATTCCATCAATAACAAAAGAACTTGAAAACAGAGTATCCTAGGGGGGAAAAAATGTGACAAATCGATAGACTATAGATAAGCCTTCAAAGATCCATCACTGACAACTGAAGAAATCTAAACCATGAGAAATCTGGTTCAGACAAAAGAATACTATCATATTAAATGAAAAAGAAACGATGTGGGATGAAACTTGAAATAAGTAAATAGCCACCATGAATAATCAAACAGGTTATCTAAAAGAAAAATAGAACACAAACAAAAGCTTCAGGAAATGGATGAAAGGACTTATGAATATCTCACTTGATCTGCTCATTAATCGCAGCCTCGCATTCGTCAACGTAATTCTGTCGTGCGAGCGATTTCCCAGGCGAAGAGGTCACAAGTGCGAGTTCCTGCTTTACCTCCTCAAAGGGTTCAAAGAACACGCCGGTCAACGCCTTGCCGCTATCAGGTCCGATCGCAGCCATCGATCCTACCGCTAACCTCCCAATCTGGGGAACCCTCAGAAAGCCGGCCGTCGGCAGCTTCCACCGGCAGAGAAAAGCTGCCCGAGGGTACCCCTCGGATGAGGAAGACATGAGGGAGAGAGTGGAGGAAGCACGGAGAAGCATCTTCACGATAAGATAGGAAACCGGAAAATGGAAAGATGAAGATGGAATGAGTGAGCTGGATTAGCGGCAAAGCGGAGGTTGATATAGAGCTGGCAGGGGGGAAGGGGCTAGGGTTTTAGATAAAGTGTACGGTTTCGATTAAAGAAACGTGTAGGGTGCAGATTGATTAACTGAACGAGCGCGTGGAGGGCTCGTGGTCCTCGGCCACAAAGCGGTATCAGGCGAGAGAATATCTGCCAGAGAAGAATAAGAAGATCCGATAAGGATTGGGTTACAAGATTGTTGAAACAAATTATGAAACACCATTGGATCAGTCTTAAGATTTGAGTCAAATCTTCCTGCAAAATATTTGTCCGATTCTTTGAAAAGCTTCACGGTCTCAGTGGATCTGTAATAAAATCCATGTGATGAAGTTTCTCAGAATTTATCCAATCTGGAAGACTCCTAAAATGTTTCAATTTTATTAAATTATAAATTAAATGTCTGACGTGGCATACTTTGGCCGTTCCGGAAAGTGCACTCATTTACTGTCCCGAAATCTTCTCATATTCAGTGCGGGCACAAGGATTTATTTAATTTTTTTTATTTTTATTTATCATTTATTTATTTCTTTTCTTAAAGGAGCAAAGCGTCCGACTTTTTTTTAAGAAAAAAATTGAGTACAATAAAAACTCTAAATACTTGCAACTCGGCACAAACTATTAAAATATAACACCTAAAAAGATACCAAGAACAACATTTAAGATGATACAAAAAAAAGAAACAATTGCAACAAAAAAAAAATAATCGAACCAATAACACTCAACATCTGAGACAAGCGATGAAGGATGAAATGACAAGATATCTAACAACAACACAAAGATGGAAACTAAAACAATCCAAATCAACAACTTCTAAAACCATACCGAAAACAACAAATTCTTTTTAATTCAACAGCAAAAATATAAGTGTAGACCACAAATAACTGCTCCAGCATAATCCAGGAGTTCCAGTGGAAACTTGGGGTTCTTTTGGGGAGTTGTTTTTGTCGATTCTCATCACTATAATGTTGAATGGCGTATTTGGGAGCATGCTTATCATGCGTGTTTGGGAGCATGCTTATCATGCGTGTTTTGGTGGCATGCAGTTACATATCAACAAAAACTGAAACGATGGGGGAAGGTTGTGTTTTATGATTTGAGCTCCATTTTGACTTCAAAAAATCATTGTTGTCTCTCTTCAATATCTGAAATTTCTCTCTATGTCCCCACAAATATCCCTCATACTCTTTCCATTCTCAATCCTAATCTGTGTATTTAGGGCAAAAACCTAGCTAACTTCTCACCTCTGTTCGTTTTCAGTGTCACTGACTCTCGCTGCTTATCTTTATAAGTATCTCTCCATCTCCTTTGTTATATGTGATGGTAGTTTGAAGGATTTTTTTTGTCATTTTTTTTCGATTTGGGTGGTTTGATGGTGTGATGGCTCTGGTTTTATAACCCTATCGGTTTACTTGTTGATGCTTTGATGGTTTCTATTTCTCTATTTTCCCCTTTTGTTCTCTCTACTTGCCTGACAAATTGCATTAACCAAATTGAAATCAAGAAAGATCAATTAATAGATAAGTTAAATTAGTTGGAATATAATAACTACATTTCATTGCCTCTGCTTCAAATTTGTCTTTGTTGGTTCAAGTGAGATAATGAAATTATCTCGTTGTTCTCTCTACTTTCCTGAGAAATTGCATTGATCTGATAGAAATATGAAAGTTCAGCAATTAGGTAAGTTAGATTGGTTGCATTAAAATAAATGCATTTTATAATGTTATATATTAAAGTTATAAATTTCTATTGAAGCTATGTAATCTATTAAAGTTCTAATGTTAGATGAGTAATTTGGTATCTCTTGCTTCTTCAATCTAGAGAAGCAATTTTTAGAAAGAATTATGAACACATTTGGTTTTTCTAAAAAAATTAAATAATTGGGATTGTTTTTGAGCTGGTGCAAAGATAAAGTTTAGATGTCATATGAGTTATTAAATTTTTTCTCCTGATGTTCAACCAAGAAAAGTTATCCATGGAAAGATGTATGTGCACTACTCATTATTTTGATATTTTTCTTGAAACAATTTTATATATTAAAGTTATATTGTTGGATAAGTGAATTCATTTCTCTTGCATCATCATCATCATTAATCTATAAAATCATTTTGTGTAGAATTGGAAATTTCTAGGGTGACAGACTATAAATCCCCAATTCGGTCATAGTGTTTAAAAACTAAAGCGAGAGTTAGCCTTCAGGGGAACTGAAGTGGGAGCTCTGGAGTGGGAGCCAGCATCCTCCTAGCCTAGCCACGGATTTAGGGACTAAATCTAAGATTAGCCAATGATTTTTTGTAATACTGAATCAGGATAGAGAATTAAAATTGCTCCTATTTGGCACAATACAAATTTAGACCATTTATCTCATCTCATTTTACCAAAAACTCATTGTAGTGGGAATGATGCATTTTCATATTAGAAAACTTCATCACATAAACATAGTTTAGTAGTTACTATTTTAACTCTTTGCATTTAAGTTTTACTAGTAGTTAATAATTTAGCTTTAATAGTATCTTAAATATTTGAAATTTGTGACAGTAATTTTGTTTTACTTATGTGAATTTTCTAGTTAATTTATCATTTCAAATTTAAACCTTCCTTGTGGGATCGATATTTTGGATTTAAATAGAAAGTCTTGTATTACCTAATAATGATACGTATACTTGTGTAGAATACCAACATTAAGTGCTTAACGTTATTATTCATAAAATAACACATCAAGTTTTTGGCACCGTTATAAATCGAAGTCAACTTCATAAATTTTACACAACTATATTTCATTTGGTCAAGTTTTTTGTGCGTTGCCGACTAAGGTAATGGTAAATTAAATAGATTTGGTAAATTAGGACATTTAAAGATAAAAATATACAAAATACAAAATATCAAAAAAATTTAAAAAATAAAAAATAAAAAATATATATATAACTATATATTTAAGAGTATAAATCACCTCCACTACAAAATAGCCTACTTACCTACGGCTTTTGGAATTAGAACATACTATTAGAAAAATTCGAAAACAATTAGAAGAAATTAAACATTTGAACGAAATGGCTAATAACATATAATCAAATAAATGAAAATCGACAAAAACCTTTAAAATATTATGCTAATCCGACAGCAGATAAACTTCACTTAACTATTTAAAATCCTGATTTTGCTGCTAATTCATTTGAGTTTAAACCTGTCATTATCCAAATGGTACAAAATAATCAGTTTGGAGGAACACCTACTGAAGATCCTAACTTACATCTTGCTAGTTTTCTTGAAGTTTGTGCTACTTTTAAATATGACGGAGTGTCTAATGATGTTGTTAGGCTTGGACTTTTTTCCTTTTTCATTAAGGGATAAAGCTAAAGCTTAGTTAAATTCATTGGCACCAGGATCTATCAGAACTTGGGGAGAACTATCACAAAAATTCTTGGCTAAATATTTTCTACCATCGAAAATCGTTAAGCTTAAAAACAATATTACATCTTTTTGTCAGTTTGAAAGGGAATCGATATATGAAGCCTGAGAAAGATTTAAGGATCTTCTTAGAAAATGTCGACACCATGTTTTATCAGATTGATTAATAATTCAAACTTTTTATAATGGATTAGTAGGCTCACTTAGATCTATTATAGATGCTGCTGCAGGTGGATCATTAATGTCAAAACCTTTTGATGGAACATACTCTTTAAGAGAAGAAATGACTACTAACAATTTTTAATGGCCCTCTGAACGGGTAAATCTTAAGAGAGTAGCTAGTATTCTTGACTCTGATGCAATGTCTATTTTAGCATCTCAAATTGCTACTATATCAAAAAAGATTGATCAAATTGGAGTGAACTATACTCAAATACCACTAGTATTAGAGGAAAATTTGATATGATAGATAATTGATACTCATTCACTTTATGAAACTTTAATTGCTATTAATAATCAAAATAATAATCCCTATTCTAATTATTACAACCCTAGATGGAAAAATCACCCTAATTTTAGTTGAAATAATTATAACAATTCAATGAAGCCCTCAAGAAATTTAAACAAACAAGGAAATCCTAATTATCGACCTTATTATCCTTCTGGATTTAACTCTAACCCTAACCCATAAGTAAGTTAAGAGAAGTTGACGATGGAAGAAGTAATGTTGAATATGGAAAATCAAATACAAAATTAAAGGGTTACTATTAGAAATATTGAAAATCAATTAAGACATATTGCTACAACACTTAGTAACAGACCTTTAGGAAATCTTCCGAGTACTGTGAAAGTTAATCCCAAAGATCAAAATAAGGAGCAAATTAAATTTATTCAATTACGAAGTGGAAAAGAAGTTGAAACAAGAATCCAAAGAGAAATTAAAGTTAATGAGGAGAAGTAAGAGATGGAAAGTGACCATAATGAAAATGAACAAACACAAGTTACCTTAGAAAAACCATTATCTCCATTTCCTCAACGACTGAAGCAGACGAATAAAGATAAATAATTTACAAATTTTTTGGAAATCCTTAAAAAATTAACAATAAACATTCCTTTCATTAAGGCTTTAGAACAAATGCCAAGTTCTGTGAAATTTATGAAAGAAATACTAAACAAGAAAATGAAGTTTACAGATCATGAGACCGTTGCACTCAATGAAGGGTGCAGTGCTATTATTCAAAAACGCTATTATTCAGAAGAAACCTCCTTAAAAATTAGAAGATCTTGGTAGTTTTACTATACCTTGTGCAATTGGTGAAAAGTTTTATAGAAAAGCCTTATGTGATTTAGAAGCGAGTATCAATCTTATGCCCCTATCGATTTTTAAATGTTTAGATTTAGGAGAGATTTCCACTACTACTGTAACTTTTCAGTTAGTTGATCGATCAATAACTTATCATAAAGGAGTTATAGAAGATGTATTAGTAAAAGTGAATAAATTTATTTTCCCTGTAGAGTTTATAACATTAGATATGGAGGAAGATAAAGATATTCCTATTATTTTGGGGAGAC